ATGGTTCTTCTTGAATTTTCGAATTGTGTGATGCCACTTTTTCTCACCTGAGTTTATTTACAGCAAATTCATTATCTACTGCCTTTGCACTCTGACCTCTGCCATTTGATCCCCAGGATAAGTTAATGGTGCAGCAGGGTGTTAGAACTCTCTGCAGTTTACAGAAATATTGTTTGCCTGAATGATTATAACTCTGATTGTCCAACATCTGGCTAATATGTTTCTCTCCTCCAGCATGACAACGATTGAAACAGGATAAAAGTACGGTAAAATTGTTAATTTCCTGGTTTACAAAAGCACATCCGACCACGCTTCAAATACAAAAAAGGATAGTCTAAGTTCTACTTGGTTGAAATTACAGTGGCTACAAATATAAGGACTATTATCTCAAGTTATGGTTTAAGTTTACTGGAATCCATTTCAAATCTTAGGAAAATCTACTCTTCGGAAAATTACTGAACCAAATTATGGGTTTACTGCAATTTTTTCAATCAACTATTAAATTCTTTCACTGAGGTGTAAACACCCTGTTTACTTTACATCCAACTGTTACAGTTAGCAATGAAAGAAAATTTGGGCTAAATGATTTGCGTAGGCTTCTTAGGAGTTTCTGTACCAAAACACTAAACAGTGTCTGATACAGAAACAGGGGGAGATGCATGGAATTACTCTATTCAAGCAAATTCTGAGTTAATCTAATCTATTGAGAAATTTTTCAGTTTTGGGCTTCAACAAAATATAAAAGAGGTTAAATCAAAATTCACAAATGTTTTAATTACTCGAATGAGTTTCTAAACTAATACTGAATATTCTGAATTGAATACATTAAAATTAACAATGATGTCACGTGTCAACTAGATTTCTACAGAACAGAGTTTTTAAAAACGGGGAATAAATTGCTGCTTCTCTCTTGCTATAATTCAAAATAATTTGTTTAGCCAAGTCATGCAGAAAGGTCTAACCTGAACATTATACAATTTAATAAATCTAGTTGTATCAAATTTCTCCCCAAAACTGCCAAAAGCATTGATAAATATCATAAACACTACAAAAGAGGGTAATTCAGTTAAGTAAACATTCTATAGAAGGGATTCAAAAGAACCAGTTGTTCAAAGGTTAAAATTGTTGAACTTTTGGGATTTAAAATCATGATGAGAATAAAACAAGTCAGTTAAATATGGAGTGACAGGGTTAACTTTATTCTTGTAAAAAAAAATAGGCTAATCATTCTTTGAGGGTTTAAGATGGGAAGAAAATATGAGGATTCACATAAAAAATGGTCTAAATTGGGATTTACAAATTAGCAATTATGGAACTGATTAAAGGGGGTCAAAAGGATTGACAGAATAAAAAATAATCTAGTCCTATGTGTAATTGTTGATTCAAGGTAATGCCTAAACATTTCTAATAATCATAATTTACAGTTTTTGGTCTGAGACAAAATAAGGTTGTCTTTTATTACATGAATGGAATATATTACAAGGGATCTTAATTTAACACGGATCATTAACTTTTCACACTATTGATGATATTTTACAAGCCTTTAGTGTAGAGGGTTACTTCTTGTTAAATGAGGACTATTTGATTGAATCTAATTAAAATAACAAAAGCAAAAGATTTATATATGGTTTAAGATTTCTGGTAAAGTTTCTATTAGGGATAAATCTTATATACATTTCAAATGATATTTCTTTGATAAAACATGACTGTGGGCAGTTTTGCACATTCATTTCATAATCTGATCCTTTACATTTTTTTTTTTTTTTTTTTTTTTGTTTGGTTTCTGATTTTGTCTGATCCTCTGAATATGCCAAAACTTAAAACAAGCAAAGTTATTTTTGAAGGTTGAAATGTACAGGGTGTTACTGACTTTAAGCATTTCTTTTGCTATTATTAAGAGGAGAACTTAAATAATAGATGTTATTGATATATTGATGCTCTATTGGCTTAGTCTGAAAACAAAAGAAAAAGCATGATCTTCAGCTTCAAGGAGCAGCCTTTAAAAAACAAAACAAAAACAAAAACAGAAACAAAAAACATTATTTACTAATCAAGATGATGCAGAATC